AGTTGTGGTTGGTAGTAGTTCTCTTGCTTGACCATGCCAACTGCTTGCCACGTACCAAGTCAGAAGGAGAAATATGAGACTTATGTTTCATCAGAGCTCAACGGCATAGAGAGGGATCTCAAAGTGGTGTTGGGGGAGTCTTTGGTATACCAAGGTTGGATGCATGTGCGATTAGGAATGGTTTTTAACTCGTCGATTCCGCATGGAGCGAGCATTGGCTATTAAGAAGGAGTTGGATGATCATAACTTTACTGGTCTCAGCAATAACACTCCGGATGACATTCCTGTTCGAGAGAAGGTATATGGAGAGTAGTCGCTGTGGTGTGTCTATGTACGGCTTAGGTGATGTGGTCCGATATAGTAACAGGCCGCCCGGCACTGGGAGGAGATGAGATGTCCGTAGATGCTAAACAGCGCAAGGCTGATCTCTATACGAAGATGTTCGACAACGCTACTGATAGTGATCATAAGTGCCGCCCAGCTGGTGAGTTATGGGAGGCTTTAGGGTTGAAGAGGAGTGTATTGGTCTTAGGTATGTCCTTTTTCCGATGTCTTTCGAATAATTTCGCCTCCCCTACGGTGGATACACAGTGTAACGCTGAGTTCAAGGCATTCGAGCAGTGTAGAGAGAGTATTGTGAAGGAGCAAGCTGATGCTACTAATGTAGGGTGTGTGGGTGCACTCAATGGGAATGGGGTTCTTCAGAGAGCTTTGTTGGCGCAAGATATATCAGATAGGAGGGCGAGGGCTTTGTTCGAGCGCCGTATGGTAAGGGAGATGAGGAAGGGGGAGGGGATGATGTTGTGACTGTCCTGGTAGGTGCTGTTGGATAGTCTTAAGGCAGCGCAAGAGAAGGCGTGAGAGAGGCTGTGGAGGGCAGAGTGCCGTTAGTTGAGGTTTCCCGTGTTAAATGTGGTCTGCGTGCTGAGTGTTCAGTATGGCCGGGGGTGTCTCGGGGAGGAAGTGGTCGATTTGTGGTATAGGAAGAGTCTTGACCATTGAATATGGCCTCTTCGATATCAACAACGCATCGCCATCACCATCATAGTGGTGGGATAGGTTATTCTCCACTTCACGCTAAAGGGCCTGGAACAAGCAATAGTAAAGGGGGTTCTAAGTGGCGTAATTGCTTCCATATAACTCCGACTAAGCCGGACGGAACGTATTGGCTTACAGTGCGGGTAATAGTAGTACTAGATCTGTTGCTGTTGGGGGATGTATGGTGATTCATAGTTGAATAATAAGCGACTTGGAGTTGACCGGGCATCGGTACAGGACGCTAGTGCAGCGTTAGAGCAGTTCTTACAGGAGCATAAGAAGGAGTATAGGGATTCCAATCAAACAGTAGAAAAGGGAATCCCTGGGCTTCTTGGGCATCACCGTTTACTGTCGTTGGGTGCATGGTAGTTGGAAATAGATGTGATAAGTTATGATGAGCTACTGAGGATTTGGCAGGGTTATTGGAAGTGTGGCTATGAGAGCGATTGTGATAGGAATAATAACATCTGCTATAATGTCAGCGAGGATATCAGTTTGAGGTTTAGAGTGTATGATGGGGAATCTATTGACAGACGCGTGCGGTTCAGTGGCCGTGGAAGGGTATTTCTTGCCGTGTATCGATTTTAAAGTGATTGTGATATTCCAACCATCGCACGTATCTTGCAGCTCGACGAGTATCCTCTTGGCTCATGCATGTGTTTGCCTTGGAGCTCTACGTATGATTCCGTCTTTGTCCTGCTCAGCCCTCTACCAAAGATCCGACATTCGTGTATCGGTATCGGCTGTGTGCTAATGTGGAGCTTGGTAGGAAGGCGCTACTGTTGACCTGGTCGTACAGCCAGTCTGTTGTTAGCCGAGAATCAGCTCACGTCATCGGGGTGCATCGTCATGCTCAATACTCTAGCTCATCATAACGTGCAGTGCAAGGCAGGGAAGGTGGTGAGGGAGGTCGGCCCATACGCGGCTTTCAGGCACTGCGGCTGTACCGAAACTTCATCGACGATGTGGCGGTTTGTCGGTTGTCACAAATGTTAGCAGAACAAAGCGAGGCGATAGAGGAGTTGCACTTGTCCAATAACAGGATAACGGGTAGAAGTGTATTGGAGAGGGCGGTCGCCGAGCAGTGTGTGTGTTTTCAGAACGAGGGATTATGCAGTTGTTGATGACTTTTGCACTGCACCCGAATGAAGCGTATCCTTGGCAAGCTAAGTCACAGATGTAGGAATGGCAGTGGATAGTTGAGCTGATGGGTGGTGGTGGTGGTCAGATATCAACCGACGTGGTTGCGGATGGAAAATAACAATGTTAGCAAGCCGCAAGAGATGCTCCGAATACTTGTGGATACCGGAAAGGTGCGAGGGGTGGGGTTCGAACGTAGGACCTTACATTGGAAAGCAAGTCGCTCGTCCGTTATGCTATATTGGATGGAAGATGAGGGTTAGACTAGTAGTTGTTCCGATCCACGTCAGAGGTTGAGAGGCTTTCCTGTTCAGCTCATACTATGCGTGGCGGACGACAAGTCTGGTTGCGGTCCGTCCAAGTGTGTGAACGCTTATAAGGAGCGAAAGACGAGTCCAATAGCGCACCTGCATATGTACGATGTTCACCCAAATGCATCGTCACAAGCTGCATTGACTACGGAGGAAATGGTAATCTCTTGCGCTTCGCTCCGCTAGATCAAAGGGCATTTTTCAGGTGAGAATAGCATCGTGCAAGAGCTATGATGAGATACAGAAGCTTCCTCCAGCTAGAGCGGTAGTGCCGTATTAAAGCGAATGGTCGGGACAGAGTGTTCGTTACAGGGCCCGGTTATGAGCATGTCGGGCCACGCCTTGCCCCATGCAGCGTCAAGCACATTGTCAGCATTCATTGGCAACAGTTCAGCCACTTCGCCACCACCACATGGTAGGAGGCAACGACTGGTGGTGGAGGATGACTCGGATGATAGGTGCATCGCAAGCTGCAGGTAAGAAAGCAGCTTCTGGGTACTCGACAAACTCTACCTCGGCGACTTCTACTGCTGCTGGAACTGCAGTGAAGGGAGCATGGCCCTCTGCTAGTCGACCCTCAGGACCAGCATCGGACACTGTGATCCATAGGTCAGCTAAGGAGGTGCTGTAGTGATGGTGATGGTCTCGGGCAGATATCAGTTGGTGAATCTACCAGCACCAAACGACTGCAGTGAGGAGGCAGACCTCTCCCACTGTATATGTGGTAGATGCCAGAATGTGCTGAAGGACCCGATCCAGACCAGGCCGTGCAGGCATAGGTTCTGTCGCACATGCTTCCAAGCGCATATGGTACGTTGGAGGGAACTGCGCTGCCGCTCGCTCGGGTTTCAACGCTTTAGGGTCGTGGTGAATCGGCTTGTCGATCAGTGAGGTGTACGTGGGTATTGTATTGTTATCAGGAACGCTTCACAATTCCAGCGAAACAGAAGAATAAGCCTGTCACTAGCATACCGTGCCCGAGGTAGTATTAGTAGTTGATGACTACAGTGTACGGAGTGGTTGATCCTGTGTAAATTTGGCAGCTGCGGTCATGGGTTAGCAAGAAGCGACGTTGGTTGTCTCGATGAGAAGACTCTGCGTGAATACCGTCAGACACGAGTGAGGTAGTAGTGATGATAGAAATCATTTCGTTCGGGTATCGTTGCTTTCATCCCAGATGTAAACATCATCCCGTGAATTTTTTATCGCCTCTATACTTGGCAGAGAAGGCTGCTGCTGCTGCTAGTAAAGATAGCAGTGGCGCTGATGGTGATGACGAGTGTAGTCCAAAGGGTGACTCGGTTGGCCCTAAGCATAGCAGTGGTGACACGGTGACAAGCAGTAACCCTCCTAGTGAGCTCGTCAAGACAGCCCTCGGCATCGAGTGTAGATGGCAAGGGTCCATTTCTGAATATGCTGCCCATATACATCAGTGTCAGGTGGGTTTGTGGGACAAACTCATACCACACTCCCCGCAACTCATATGACAGGTCGAGGAGATTGTCCGAGATCAGATGGCACCCCGGGCAGATTTCGCATCAGTTGTTCGAAACACATCGGCGATCTCTGCTACTAGCGGTGCGGCGACGTTTGTGACTGGGAATAGCAGCGCAAGTCTCGTGTCCCCCTCGGCTCGAGAGAAAGTGTTATCACCAAAGAGTGACCACAGTATAGCTAGAAAACAGCAACAGCAACAACAACAACAACATGTGGATATTACAAGTGATAGTACAACGACAGCAGCTACTCGAACGGAGCCTCTTCCGACCGCGCTGACGGCGTTACCTATGGGGCCGGGGATAGCGGAGGCGGCGGCTAGCATAGCGGCAGCAGTGGAGGGACAGTTGAAGAGTAGTGCTCCTAAAGTATAGTAAGTCGGGATGGGTCGGCTGGGGTGGTGGGTGGTAAGGTGTTGTGTGTTTAGTGAGGCTATGGCGATGGAAAGTAATGATACGCCTTTGTTGCCTGGTGGGCTGACGCCGAGTCTGGTAGAGTCCGGCACGTTGCCGCGCCCACCTAGTGATTGGTCTCCGACTAGCAGGACTAGCAGAATGAGCAAGCCCTCGGTTACCCCTTTGAGTAGAATGGGTGACAATCTCGAGGACACTATTGACCGAAAGCAGCAGCAGCAGCAAGGATCGACCTTCGATTTCCTCGACCAACTTCCACTGGCTGGAGGTCTGGGGAGTTTCCGTCCACCACTGCCACAGGAGAGTATGGATGATCACTATCAGCAGCAGCCGCATCATCATCAGCTAATGCATCAAGAACAGCAGCATCAGGCAGCGTATGGCCCTGCGGTAAGCGTAGATCTCTGAGTGCTTTCTATTGACTTTGGTGGTGGTAGATCCCTACAGCTATGCATGGTAAAGGCTTCTACTATGAACAGTCGCCGGAAACTGAACGCTTTATGGGCGGGCATCATCACCCTCCCATACCGCCGTACCATATGCAGCAACAGCAACAGCAGCAGCAGCAGCATCGCGAGTACAACCACTATCCTGACCGTATGCCCTACGCTTATGACCATCCTATGGCACATCATCATCATCAGCCAGTGTTCGATAGCAGCATGCATCACTACAATAACGGACATGTTCAGCCGGTAGCACCTCAGCACTCCCATGCTGGGTATGGCGATGAGGCTTCGAGACGTCGAAGGGAGTTTGAGGCGATTGCTGCTGCTACTACAGCGGCCCATAGTAGTCAGTACCCGAGGCCAGGACCACCACAACAGGAATACCAGCAACAGCAGGGCACAGCCCCAGCAGCTGAGGGGGACACTAGGGCGGTGAATGAGTACAGACGTATAGTGCATGACTATGTGTAGGATGGAGTCTGCTTAGTTGATGGTTTATTGGTATTGTTCAGTCCGGACCCTGAGACGATGAGTCTTGGCAACAACGACAACTTTCTTGACCTTTGCGCTGGAGATGTGGTTAGAGTGTTGGAAGTGACGGCGAGTGGCTGGGCTGCTGGCATGAGAGTAGACGAAGATTGGAGGGTGAGTAGGGGAGGGAGGTGATGTTGGGTTGGAAATGCTCTCGTCATTGGTAGGACATACCTCACCCTCAGACGGGGTCTACTGCGTGGTTCCCTTATAGCTTCTCAGTGGCTATAGAACGGTAGATATATGTATGCAATGGTGCTCTCACTGGTGCTACTATCAAGTAGTAGTTATTGGGTTAATGAGTTTCAGTATGACGATTGATATTTACTATAACTTTTGATGATACTTTTCATGGTAATAAACGGCAACTAATGAACGCTGAGGCGGGCGCATATCACACCGGTCACGGTATCGCTGGTAGTGATAGCAGCAGCTGCAGCCTCGTTGACTTAGCGTATTCTGCGTAGGTTTGCGTAATCATCAATGTCGTAGGGTCGAGTAGGGAAGGGCAGGTTCGTGGTGGAAGTGTGGCATTGAATAGTTGTGTTTGATTGTTCACCGCAGTCGAGTGATGGCAAAGAAGGACCGAAAGGTTGAGAAGAGACGTGCCAAAGCCGCGGCTAAAGCAGCAGCTGTCGATGGGCAAAAGGAAGCAGACAAGCCGGCTGAGTACGTCGGTGGTCGCCCTACTCGAGAGGTAGGCTGAAGTGCAGTGGGTTGGGGTTGATGGTGAAACCAGGTGCTGGGGTTTGTGAGTCGGTCTGGTCCAGACGCTCCTCGAAATCGGACACAGAATATGGACATTGAGGTCACTGATATCAACATGTATACAGGAAATATGCGTGATGCGCAGTACGAAGATTTCCTCCTTGCTAGGTTCGCGGGTCGTCAACAGCTCTTGAGTGGAGCCACGCTGCGGTTGGCCGATGGTTTTAAGGTAGTGTGAGATGGTGGAGTGAAAAGGAGTGATGATTTCAGTACGGTTTGGTTGGCCGTAATGGTGTGGGGAAGTCTACTTTGCTGAGAGCGGTGGCTGAACAGGAAATTCAGATTCCCGACTTCATTTTCGTCATGCACGTCGAACAGGTGATCATGCTACTGCTGTACTGCTGTAGTCAAGTAAATGTTAGGAAATCGCGGGAGATGACACTCCTGTCTTGCAAGCAGTGTTACAGGCGGATAAGGAGAGGGAATGGCTGGTAGGGGGTACACACATTGTTGCCCACATTTGTTTGCTACTTGCAGCTCGGGGCTGAGAAGATGCTCCTCAATACTGAGGTGAAGGAAGGTCAAACTGAACAGCCAACGGTATGGTGGGATATAGCTTATGAGGTAGAGCGCAGTGTTGTTGCTGTTAGTACATGGGCATAGACCTTATGGAAGTCTACGAACGGCTCGACGAGTTGGACAGTGAGAACGCGGAGGCTCGAGCGGCTACTATATTGGCGGGTTTGGGGTTCGATGCTGAAGCTCAGTCGAGGCCGACGAAGGAGTACTCTGGTGGATGGAGGATGCGTATTGCCTTGGCACAGGTGAGGAACTCATCATGAATGCAGTGCTATTGGGGTGGCAAAGTGGAGTTTCACCCGTTTTACATGAAGTGGCGTAAAACTCTGTAAAAAACGCGATATTCGCACTATGCAGTAGTCGCGAAATATGTTCTTCACTAGTGTTTTTCATATCACGGGGGAAAGCTCTCTAGCGGGAGCGATCTCAATGAATTTGAGTTGTCCAGTCTCGATCCACCAACTCTCTACTGATGCTTACACCTTCCAACTACTACGATATTTGGCCGTCCTGTTGGGTATTGATTTCGCTGCTGATTGCAGTAGTAGCACCCTTATAGAAGTAGGGTGGTTCTAGGTCAATGCTGAGGCAGTGTGATTCAATATCATCAACCATCAACATCACGCCATTGTGGTCATGCCGTTACTCATTGGTCAGGCACTGTTCATGACGCCCGACTTGCTTCTGTTGGACGAGCCGACGAACCATTTAGATGTGCCGGCTTTGACGTGGTTGGAGGAGTTCCTGGCCTCTTGGGAGAAGACTGTCATTATAGTCAGTCACGATAGAGGCTTTCTCAATCAGGTTGGTGGATTCACCTCTGCCTTTCTCAACTGTGAGTGCAACTCAGACGACTTCGCATACTATATTCCAGCATCGAAAGCGATTGTGGTACTATGGTGGTAGTTACGACACTTTCCTGAGGGTCCGAGCGGAGCACAGGGCGAATCAGGTTGGTTGCTGTGTTGATCTCTATGCGATGGAATGTGTGTTCAGGCGGTGATGGCTGGTGTGCAGGAGAGGAGGGTAGCGCAGCTAAAGCAGTTCATATCGAGGTAGTAGTTTTTATAACATGGCTTCGCACGATGGACATACTTTCTCAGGTTCGGGCACGGTAATAAGAAGATGGCCCGACAGGCCCAAAGCCGTATGAAGATGCTTTCGAAGCTCCAGGATGAAGCTGTGGAAGTTGGTAGGTGCTCTCCGTCGTCGACCACTACTGTGATATTGCCTCCCCCGTAGATTATGACGACCCGTACCTGCAGCTCAACTTCCCCGCTGCTGCTCCTTTGCCACCGCCTTGTATATCGGTACTTGATGCTTCGGTAAGAGGACGTCTGAGACTGCCTCTGTTGCTGTTGATGACTGTTTTTCTGTTATCATTGATATGTTGACTATGTGAAGGGGTGAGTTTGTGTTCCCTTTCAGTTCGGTTACACTCCTGAGAGGCCACTTTATAAGCACCTCAACTTCGGTGTTGACTGTGATAGTAGAGTGGCCATTGTAGGGCCGAATGGAGCCGGTATGCTCAAAGCCTGTCCTGCAGGGTCGACTACTGTCGTATGTAGGTAAGTCTACTTTTCTCAAGCTTCTGGATGGGTCACTGGACCCCACCGATGGAGCTGTACGGAGGCACGCCAAGCTTTCCATTGCCCGGTAAGAGTGTTCGAACGGCGTGCAGCGTGACTGTATGTAATAGGTTCACTCAGCATCACGTTGATGCACTAGACTTGTCTGTTAATGCAGTCACTACTATGCGGAGAGTGGACCCCGAGATCTCCATTGAGAACTGCCGGAAATATCTGGGTAGGTTTCGCGGTCAAAGTGCCGTACAATATTCTGATGCAGCATTCTGTCAACGAAGGGTGACGGAATATGATCAAAATGATCAGTTTAAAGCGCTTGCTTGAGTCTTGTTTGTTTGAGTATTGTGATTATGTCTGTGAGCCTCTCGCCGTTATAGTCATCTGAACATAACACCAATGAGTATATACTTTTATCCTTGGTCCTTGCATCAGGTCACTTCGGTCTAGCTGGCGACTTGGCCCTGCAGCCTATCGAGACGCTGAGTGGAGGTGAGATCGGCTTTCTAGGATGGAGCAGTGTTGGAATGTATGCTCCGCTTCTTGAGCTTGGCATTCTTCTTGTGGATTACGAATGTTTTCAGATCACTCTGATCGAGGGGGTACGAAACCATTAAAATACCCTCAAAATTCTGTTATTATCGTCGTATAGTTGAGCATGTGCCTATCGCGAAGAGCATCCACTGGCTCCTCAGGTCAGAAGTCTCGAGTCATCTTTGCCCAAATCGCCTATAAGCACCCTCACCTGCTGCTTATGGATGAGCCCACGAACCATTTAGATTTGGAGACTATTGAAGGCCTTGCCCTCGCCCTGAATAGGTGAATACCGAAGTACCTTCTCTCTGTGATACAGCAACGCCTCTTTAGGTTCGAAGGTGGTGTCGTTCTGGTATCCCACGACGAGCGTCTGGTAAGCATGGTAGCTGATGAGCTGTGGGTGGTCATGCCTGGCAAGAAGGATGCCTCGTCCAAAACTGGTTGGAGACCTGGTCAGCAGTCATTGTTGCTGCTTGGGGTGGTCAGTGTTGCATCATTTTCAGGTAGTGTTACTGTTTTCGAAGGGACCTTTGAGGACTATGTCGATATGCTCAAGGACGAGTTTGCGAAGAAGCAGCTTATCGGCGGTGGTCGCATCAAAACTCTGCGAGAGTGAAGGCCCCTCAACAACGTTCATTGTTAATAATAATAATACTCATTATGATTCTACTGCGAATGCGTGCCTTCGCCTACCGCTAATGCGATACGTTATTGGCACTATGGCGTTGGTTACGGCATACACCGAAAAAGTAGTTCAACGTTCCTCCTACACATTTGTTGTTCGTTTCTAGTGATGGTTTGGTGAATTTTGTGGCGCGCGAAACGACATAATGGGTAGACGTGTTATCATCATACCAAGGTATGAGTGATAACTATGTAGCTAGGTAGGTAACGCAAACCAGATCTTGGAGTACACTTCCAGTGCACATAACATACAATGGGAACTTCATGGGCACTTATGAGTAGTGAAAGTTCTTGTAAAGTTCTAATAACTATGCAGCTTGAAAGAGTGCAATACAAACGAATGTCGTAGTACACGACGGGCTGTAGGGTTCCATGGCGATTGACGTTCCTGGGATGGTCGGGGATGGCGGAGCGGTGCGAGTGATATTATCCAGAAAACACCTAATATGTGGTCCCAAGACAGCAGTTCCTATTGGTTTCTTGTTTCATTATGTCGTCCTTGGCAGTAGTCTCCCCTTCTGGGGGCACAACGGTGCTTCCTATACAGGCCCACTACGAGGCTATGGAGGGCCCAGCGGCTCACCAACCGTCATCATCTCACACTACTGCCAGCTGTGGCGGTCCCGGCCGGTCCTTCAAAGAGAGGTGCTGCTTCAGTTGTTTTCACGCGCCACGAAATTCATCGTCCCGTTGCCGTCGCATAAAGGAGTGGTTCAATAGGGTTTTATATAAGTTGCAAAGGTGGTGGAAGACCCATATTAGGGCCTGTCCACCTCTGACCCCAGTGGAAGAGGGTCTGCTCGGTGACCTCACCAGGGTAGCCTCTGTTGAGAATAGTATTAGTGAGGAGAGCATGAATAGCCACCTTATTGACTGGTGGACTCTAGTCACTGCTGATGTTGGCTCCGCTCCGCCCGAATTACCACGAGATGAACGGTGGAAGGCTGTGGGGTTCCAAAGTGCGTGCCCTAGTACTGACCTCAGGACAGGCCCTCATGCACTACTGTGTATGGTTCAAGCAGCGAGAGCATACACTTCGGTAGGCTGGGGGGAAAGTTGTAGCATTTGTGACGATTTTTGTTATAGGAGTTTCGGGAGATGGTGGCTGTCAGTGATGGTTACTGCCTTATGGATTTTAATCAATTTCACTATCCATTCGCAGCTACTGCCATTAACGTCCATTTTATGTTACTCCACTACCTGGGTATTGTTGATGGTAGTAGGGGTGAGGGCCTTCCAACATGAGTAGTCGTTGCAGGTTTTTCCCCAGTAACTAAGGACGCTATTGTTGCCTCTGGTTACGAGAGGAAGGTCTTCGCCTCAGCCTTAGCCCTCACTAACGGGGCCTTTGAGGATCTGTTCACTGCGACTTGTATGGCTGTACACTCCCATTGGACTCGGATGGTAGCGGATGAGGGCGCTACCCTTATGGACTTCCAAGAGAGTTTGGCTTTCGGATTGGTAATACAACGGCTGTAGAAGGGGAAGTCATAACGCCTATTGTTCAGAATCGTGCGGCCAGTGCGCTTGTGAAATCGAGGCCTGTTGAGGACCTACCTTCGTGGCACCGAGTGTTGGTGAATATATGTATATCCTTCCCGCCGCCTCACACCATTACTCCTCCTGTTTAGTTTCATTGGGATTGTACTATTGCTACCTTCACACTTCGAATGAGCGCTTTAGTGTTGGGAGTCTTCTTGCGTTGTAGTGGACAACACTAGCGATTCACCTTTGCTGGGCAGCCCCTCGATGCAAAGTCGTAGCTTTTGAATCAACGACGGTCCATCAACAATAGCATGGTGGAAATATGATAGTCGTTGATGGCTGCAAAGTGAAGAACATGTTCAGGCAGAGATTATGTCGGCCGCTATGGACGCTGGAGATCTTCAGAGGACCAAGTATCTATATGAGGGGCCTAGCGATGGGTTCACGGTACATGTGACATTTTGAAAAGGCTATGCTGGTAGTACTGGGCCATCCTGTGTTGGGCCTTTTTCTGGAGGGTAGTCCATCGGGCTCGTGCTTGACTCTGTCCATATGGTGTTGAGGTACGTCGGTAGGTTAGCAAGGTGTGATCTTATACAGTTTCACCAGAGATGGTATCTATAGGGAGGTGGCTGTCGCTAGGAGACGGTAGAATGTATAGTCTTACAGCACACGGTCTAGCCCTTGATCACATGCCGACCTCCGACTGCTTGTGTGGCGTTTCTGAGAGGGGGGAGTATTGGTTGCTCAGTTGTGTTTTTGAACTTATTCTTCCTAGTTGATGGCTAACGGTGGTGGTAGTAGTGATAATAAGAAGGTACTCCATGCTGCGGATGAGGCGGAGAGGGCGGCTAAGGAAAGAAGGCGTGTGATGGAGGAGAAGAGACGAAAGATAGCGGCTGAAAAGGAATTGGTAATAGTAGTGATGACGGTGTTGAACCGCATGTTGTACCTTTGTCCAGTCTGAGGAAGACCAGCAACTTAAGAGCCTTCTTGAGAAGCAGGTTGAGACCATTACTTCAGGGTAGGTGTTGGGGGGTCCACGTAGTGTACTTGTTGGTTTCAGGCCAGCGGGTGATATTGAATCGGCTATCCAAGCTATTGGGCAGGAGATGCGGTCAGCGGCGAGCAGGTGGGCAGTATTGTGACGAGGGGAGGGGTGTATGGTGGCTCTCGCGTTACTGTAGTATGACTTCTGTACCCAAGCCTTTGAAGTTCCTGAGGGCACATTTCACTGCCTTGGCTGCAGCTTATGAGACGATGCCTGATAGTGGGGTTAGGAAGGAACTGGCAGATGTCCTTGCAGTAGGTCGGGATTGAACCGGGGTCACGCGATGGTTAGCGCAGGTTCTCTCTACGACCATACCACTGGAGAGGTCTCAAGAGAAACAGGCGAAGGCTGGCGATGATGAAGGCGTCACTGCTTCGGTGGCCTCCTCTGAGGAAGCACCTAAGGAGGCGGAGAGCAGTGCCAAGGGGGAGCAGTCTTCTGCTATAGGGCACGTGAAGAAGGGAGCTAGTCTACGATATCGATTGGCTGGTACCAATGAGGACATCACTAAGTGGGGCATGGAGTTTATGAAGTAGTAGTATACTTAGTTGGGAGGGAGCTGCTGATCCTCATTTCGATTTGGAACCGCCTTAGACTTTGCAGGGCGCTACCATCTGAGGACTGTTCATGTCAGGACCATCTCAGGGGAGATAGCGACTGAGTACCAGAGTCGCATGACTGAAGGCATGGACGTTACTGAGCTCATAAGGCTGGTGGATCAAATAGTAATACCATACCACAGTGGTGCAGTATGCGTATCGACCTCGTTGCTAAGGTCCCGTATAACATGAGCCATAGTGCGGAGACTGAGGCGGTGGACCTCCTGGCTGAGACTGATGGCATCGACAAGCTCGCTAAGGTAGAGGTGTCTACTGGGTGAGGATGTTCAGCAGCGCCCTTGCATCAGTTGGTGGATAGTGTCACGGCTCCGAGGGTCTGCCAGTACTTGGTCGGATTGGCCCATTTCGCTGCCAACACGGAGGAGAGGAGGGTGCTTCTCAATGTGACATATCAGATTTTCACACAAATGAAGGACCTCCCCAGTGCTCTGATGTGAGCAGCAGCGTGAAGGTGAATGCTGAGCTGAATGTCCTCTTCAGAATTGCCATGAGAATGAACAATTTTGGTAGAGTTCGTGAGACTATGAAGGCTGCCATTGATGTGAAGGAGGACAGGTAGTCAGCCCCTGCCCCGTAGGGTATGTATCTACTTGTCGTACTCAGGTCTATAGCCCGACAAATGTGTTATATATATGCTCGGTCCTCGGGTAGAGCCAGTGGGGGTGCGCTGCAGGCTGCTGAGGAGTTGGGTCTAGACGAGGACGAGGACGCTGATTTGGTAAGTCTGGGCAAATGGTAGGGAGGGTTAGGTCATCTCACAGTGTTCAGATATCCATCTTGTCTAACGAAAGCCTCTCTACTACTTACCATAACCTGGCCAAGGACCTGGATGTAGTTGAAGGTAGTACGAGCCTCTGGTGGTCCTGTCTTAGCTAATACTCCTAGCTCGTAGAATCCAGTACGTCAGGAATGCCTGGGGGGCAATTTAAATGTGATGTGGAAAGTGTTGAAGTATACGTTGGCTTCCATCAGCTGAGCTCAGAAGTTTACTCTGTTACATTATGAAAGCAGATTTTCCCGAAATTCCCTCGGGATTTTTTCACGTAGTTGAGCGTGCATATTGTCCCACATTGCAAGAAGTCGGTTTTCTAGAATAGCATCACAGGATAATCTGGGCTCATCATAGCAGGGCAGCTGTAATGTTGATTTTCGTTGTATTATTGTCGGCCCTCCTCTCAGCCAAGGCCCCAGAGGACGTGTACAAGACTCACCTCGAGGAGCGTGGGAGGAACCCTGCCACTTCTGTAAGGCCCACTAGAATGTGACGGGTCCTTATTGTTTGAATAGGTGATAGACTCGGCTAAGCAGAACCTGGCATCGACCTACGTCAATGCCTTGGTGAATGTGGGCTTTGGTACGGACAAGCTGATGACTGTGGAAGGCAGTCAATGGCTTTATAAAAATAAGGATAGAGGTATTGATGAGGAGAGTGGAAATGGTGAATGAAGAGTTGCTTCGCTCCGCCTTATTGTTAGGCATGCTGGCAGCGGCGGCATCATTAGGCTCTATCATGTTGTGGGATGTGGATGAGGGTCTCGCACAGATCGATAAGTGGGACCTGCTGGGATTCGAACCTGTGCGGGTTGAGCGTTCGTTATAGGTATCAATGGTCGGAAAACATCAACGTGAAGGCCGGCGCCATGCTGGGCTTCGGCTTGGCCTCGACTGGTGTTACTTCCGACGTTGACCCCGCCTGGGCCCTTCTGGCCGAGCAGTTGGATAGTAACGAGCCCCTTGTCAAAATGGTAGTGCCCTCGATCGCTGCTTGTCCATGAGGGTCTTCTTAGGCGGCGGTGATGGGCCTCGGCTTTGCCTATTCTGGGTCCCGCCGAGAGGACCTTGCCGAGAACCTCACCCCCATCGTGGTCGACACTGAGGCTGGCTCGCTGGCCCTCTCCGCTTTGGCTTCTGTCTCCTTGGCATTGGTCTTCGTTGGCACGGGCAACACCGATATTAAAGATATCATCATGGCGACTATTCAGGAGAGGCAGGAGGTCGGACTGTCATTGACGGCGCACTTTGGAGGAACTTGTTGGATTTAGTTGCCAACCTTCTCGGCTGAGTCGGAGGTCTTCGTATGCTTCTTTGCAGTGGCCTTGGGCATCCTCTATCTACAGTGCGGGTCTGTCCTTCCAGGTGAGTCTGGTCTGGGCTGACCTTTGGGATGGTCTTTTCAGCGGAAGGAGGCGATAAGGCTATGCCTGACCGCAGCCCAGTGGAGGATTTGTTAGAGGAGGTGGAGCAGAGCGTTAAAGATGAGAAACTCCGTAGGTCTCAGTCGACTATTGAAGGGGTACATAACGTGTCCATCAGGGAAGCTCTGCACTGTTGTGGTGAAGTCTTGCGGGTATGCTGGCAGTGGCGATGTGCTGAGGGTCCAGGTAGGCCGCAATTGTGGGCACCACAACGAAAAGTATATGCTATTGTAGGAGCTCCTGCATTTGTTGGCGGAGACCCCTGACACAAATAAGCAGGGAGGAGGGGATAATGCTGATGGTCAAGCGGTGGGGACTGAGGACAACTCGCCAGATGAGGTTGATGATGACGTTGGAGGTAGGCCAATGGATGAAGTGACGATGTTACGGTATGGGTCAGATGACGCTAAGGCTGCAGCTGAGCGTGCGGCCCGGTACTACCAAGTAGCTGGCGTGCTCGGTATTGGCCTCATTGCATTGGGGGAGGAGATCGGCACTGAGATGACCGTACGAGCGATGGACAATATACTACAGTAAGATGACTTGTTGCATTTATTCCCGTTATTGCTGTGCTATAGGTACTGCCCTCCTACCATCAAGCGAGGAGTGCCCCTCACGTTGGCTATGTTGTTCGCGAGTAATCCCAAGTGAGTCAATGACTAGCTGATGGCTCTTCTCTATCTCGAAATAGGTACACTATCATAGACACCCTCTCGAGACTGTCCCATGACGCTGACAATGAGGTAGCAGAATGTGCTATACTAAGCATGGGTGAGCATCTCCTAGGCTAGCAACCTCAACACAGTAGTTCCACAGGTATTGTTGGCGCCGGTACGAACAACTCTCGTTTGGCTGGTCTGCTTCGTCAACTTGCTGCCTATTATGCCAACAGTCCCAACGCCCTCTACGCTACGAGAATTGCTCAGGGGATGCTGTAGGTGTATTGGTGTCAGCGACAACGTTATTTGATTGAGCTCGTAGATATTGCGGAAAGGGTTTGGTGTCCCTGAGCCCACTTCACAGTGATCGCTATCTGATCAACCCCACCTCCCTTGCCTCTATGCTGGTAGTCCTCTTCGCTGGTGCTCTCAACATCGACAAGACCCTCTTCGGTTCACAGTATCACTTCATGCTCTACTACCTCGTACCCTGCATGTGAGGCATATCCCTTCAATACTGATGAGCTGATTGCCTTCTATCAGATACCCGCGTATGGTGGTCACCCTACTGGATAAGGAAGACGGCAGCGAGCCCGAGCCTATCAGTGTGCCGGTGGGTGTCTATAGGAACCTAGATGGCCTTGCTAATCCCGTCATCATTCTAGGTTCGAGTCGGCCAAGCTGTCGATACCACTGGTATTGCTGGTAAACAGGCGAAGGCCATCACTGGTTTCCAAACCCATACTACCCCGGTAAGAGCGGGTATAGTGATGATGATGGCGAACAGTCGACCGGTGTTAGGTATTGTTATCATGCACTGACCGTGCCGAGCTAGCGACTGAGGAGTATATACCAGTCACCAAGGTTATCGAGGGATTTGTTATCATCAAGAAGAATAAAGACTTCAAAGCAGAGGAATTGGAGGCACCACGAAAGTGATTCGAACAGGAATAATGTGTGCTGTTGAAAATACTGGTTTCATATACCTGAGGGGTCGTGTTGATTACCTAGTGACAACGAAGCCTTGCGCACACCCAGGCTATGGTGAAGTTGTGATGGCGTACCGGTTGGGAGGGATATTATAGAGAGGGAGATCCACTCTATCCTTACTCGTTCATTTATGGGTATTGTCTGGTTTTGCAGTTTGGTAACGACTAGAACAATTATCGTCTAGCGAAACAAGTATGGTAAACATTCTAGGTCCAAGAACAGAATGCAGCCGGTATGATTCATGCGCACCGAAAATCTATAGATTATATAGGTCTATAGGACTATTGATTCCGCTCCGTTCATGATTTTCTATAATGTATATGAGTTTATGAGCGCAGTAATTGAGCAGATCGTTATGGAAGTGAAGAATTCTTTAACATAATCATAACACACTATTCTACTCAACGTAGCTGGTTCGGATGATAATTATCATGCTTTGAAATGTTGATCAATTGAATAGACCGTGCATTGATCCTGCTACTGATAACGCCTGCTTATGAGGGGTACAAAACCATGCATAGAACTCCTCGCAACTGAACACATCAGTGTAGCGCTCTGAGGGCTGTAAGTAGCACACCTGATCGTCCCCGACCCGGTGGGGTCCGCACTTGCGAGGCACTCCTTCGCGGTGACTGCCGCCAAATCCTCAGCGGTACTCAGCGTTATCCCAACTTGCTTCATTCTCTTCACCACACCTGGGGTCAGCACCTACAGCGTGTGAGCATGCAGGCGTGATGCGGGTTCATATGCTTCTCACGATCCTGTATACATTGCGAAGGAAGGCCGTGATCTCGTCCAGGCTGATTCGACCATCCCCATTGGTATCGAAGACTTCGAATACACTGTGGAGCTTCTCCTTCTCAGTTCCACTGCATATTAGGCATACTCCACAAACAAGCTCCATCAGGTCGACTCGTCCATCCTTGTCGCAGTCCAACACATCGAACAAACCTGCCTTACCACTGGCGGCCGAGGTGGAGCAACCATAGATAGAGGGAGCCCGGAGGCTTAGGAAGATCTAACAATTCGGTATTACGAGCAATTTGTTCATCACTATCCTCGTCGGGACTCATCCCGCAGGATTCTATAAGGCTTCTGTATGCTGTGGTGAATGTTAACAAAGTGAATCTAAATAGGCAAGAAGAGCCCATGGTCACCCACACTCTCATCACTCAGCTGCATTTCCTGTACTTCCTATCATGTCGCCGCCCCTACACTGTTCAGTAAAATGCCTGATCCAAGCACTTGGGCTCTCTTTCTTCGACTGACCTACCTCACTGCCTTCGCGACGGACACCTCGTGCAGCTGTACACTCTTAGACATAACTCTCCACTCATCCAGCTGAGCATCACCCGTGGACATCCGACCAGCTTCCTTCCTAGCCGCCTCTACCTAAGTCGATATGACATGTGAACACCTGACCAAGTCCATGGCCTCTCACTCCAGTTTGGCCATCCAATACAGACATCTTCATCCCTGGTTGTTTCTTCGGTGGGGACAGCTCGATAAGCGGTGGCGACCGCTTCGAAGTTGCTCGTCGTAGAGGTTGCGAAGCTTTTGCCACCTACCCCCAGCATCAAGATGGCTATTGAGCGGCTCATCCACCTTGTCCATCGTAGGTGTCTTCACTGGAGCTCTCCGACTCTCGGAGGGCCTCCGCCCTTGGCTCGATCGTTGAGGCCCAGTTGTTGAAGCCTTCCCGACTTTGACAGCCCTAACAGGTTTTTCCGCCTCAATTTGTTGACGTCTCGGTTGGCCTGAATCGCGGCATTCCATAACACTACAATGTCGTCCATGCCTCAGCCTCACCACTCGGCTCGTGCTCAACCTTCCTCGACTGTACAGTAGCCTTCTCGACTTGTGTCTCGACCTTCAGCGGGTTAACTGCTGCTGTCTGTTCAGTGCTACTGTACATGCCCCTCACAGGACTGTACGTAGCTCCATTCGTGGGTGTGCTAACGGCCCTTTGATACGTCCTCACATCCGACATCTCAGCCATGCCCATCGATGGCGCAATAGGAGTAGCACAGCCCGACAAGTATACGTCCGTAATACCGCTCCTGTTGGGGTTCACTCCTGACGTAATTCCACCAACCCTCGCGTGAGAGGCCAGTGAAGGTGTGAATGGTGGAGGGGGCATCGAAGTGAAGTTAGCGGTAGTTCTCACTGTATGGTTCCCCGATATACTCGTAGGGGCAGAGTACCTACCATAAGACAATTTGAAGCGAGTGCTACTTACCACTCACAGACGTTCCCCTCCAGAAGAGGATATAGTTCGGACGGGCTGCTGTTGCTGGTAATGATTAAATTGGAAACCGTAACCGCCAGGGGGCATAAACATCGCTAGAAAAGCTCTGAAAATTGCCACCTAGTGAGACGACTGCAACACATGGCTTGCGTGTCCTTCCTGAGCAATGTATACCTTTTTCGGGTTCTTCGTGTACTTATTCCAGGTAGATGGGGTACCCGTTATTGACAAGTCCGAGCTCGTTTGCAGAGTACAGATAAACTCAGAGTAACAGCATCAATAGTAATACATGATGACATGTGTCCATCTAGAGGCTTGAAAGCTCGAAAAACTGTTGGACAAGTCCTGTAGGCCAGTATCCACCGCACGATGAAGGACTATTCTACTTACGTCTGGGCGCACCCCACATGCGTTAACTGCTGGAGACTTTATATCTGAGCAGTACTCAGTGAGCACATCGTGGCAAATGCTACTTCAGCGCCTCTTTAAGCTTCCCAAGGTGCGTTGCCGGCAAGGTTCACGAGAGTAACCACATTACACTGATCGGGCTCCAGGATCATATCATCATAAGCCTGAAGTTGAATTCATCATTTTGAGTCGTATAGAAGGATAATCATACCTCCTGATGCATTCCTCGCTGAGTGTTAGCCACCGCCGTGCCGTTGGTAAGCAGTACCGACTCCGTCCCGCCTATACTGCGAGGCCAATACCGTCACTCTGGACAATCCTCCACGGACCGAACACATGCCATAATCAAGCACGGCACACCGTGTGGGGGCTTCCGATGGGGTTTGTGTCTAAACATTCCCTTAGTGGCATATGGTGACGGTACAGAACCGAAGGTCAAGCAGCTCAGTAGAGGAATCAATACTCAACTTGACGTCATCATACAACACTAACGCTAGTAGCTCGGAAGAAACCTATGATATTGACAAGCATGCACATGGTCATCACAGCTCCGCAATCAGCTGATCGAGGAAGTCCTGAGAATTCTCTATACCGGCCGCCGTCCGAGCTGGGCACTCACGTTGAAGAGGGGGAGGAAGCGAATGAATGTGAGCTTCAAGGGCCCTCCAGATCTCTGGTACCGCATCATGATTCCGGTACTTATTCCGGTTACCCCTGGACAGGAGAGAGCTACTCAACACAATGTGAGTGATTACTCTCATGGGAAATTCTAGCATCTTTCGGTAGAGCGAAGAAGAGTTCGAGCTCGAGAGTGAAGGAACTGAGCAGCGACGTCGCTCGATCACTGCGAGGGGCTTTACTTGAAAAGACTAGTGAGTTGAATTAGATCAACTAGACTATCGTCATCACGATCATATTCCTCGAAAAGGCTAACAGCCACCATCACGCGGTGCTTTTCCTGCCAATTACGAGGATCACTAGGCAAACGCCAACCCTGAACGAGTTCAAGTTGGGTGTAGATCGACTGCACGCAGGGCTTACTGAGAACATACTGCATATAGACCAGGGCGTATTCGCCATGAGGTTGCCCATATGTGATTGTGTTACTGACCAGTTTTACCCAATACTTGAACACAGATCCAATGAGGAGCAGATAGGTTCAAAAAACCTCGAGGTTTCTCAGCGAACATCCCAAGCCTCGTCGGCAATGGGTGTACATCATGATGCAATAATAAAGGGAGTAGCATCCACTACTGCCTCATGTGGATGACCTGGCGATCGGGCATGATATCAAGGTCACATGTACCTGGTGAACCAGACTGAACACGGAGCACACAGCAGTGAGAGCTACCTCGATGCCTGTGCTCCATCCAGTCTTCAAGGAGGAACTCGTGGCAAACCGTCTGGGCACGGTAGTACTGATATCTGGGCACGAAATTATATAGCTGGCCGTTGGGACCTCGTTGGAGGCTTACTTGCATCTAGGGTCGTCCTCACCGAGCTCACGAGTGCAGCGGCAGAACTGTGTGAAACGGAGCTGAGGGGGATGAGGAATATAAAGAGGTGACGGACACGAGAGGCGGCGACTAACCTCACAATTGTTCCATTGGTTAGACTGGAAAGCAAATCTTGGGTCATCGGTGTGGGGGTGTTCGGCGGTTAGGCGATCGAGGGTGCCAACGAACATGGCATCAGCACTCTCTTCGGACATAGTGAGGAAGATGTGTTGAACACGAGGAGCACTACCCACGCCGAGATTGGTGAATTAGAGAAGTAATTTGCAAGTAAGTTGCATGAACAAGTTTTGAAAACCCGTGGTATGGAACCCACGGAGGT